GAGAATAATTTGTTGCCTTAAGCAATAACTCGTGCCTAATTTCGTGAAGATACCTCGTCAATTAAAAAAAATGTCCATGCAAGCACTTTACTCCGATCGTTCAGTTAATATGGCAGCTATATGCTATATTCATCCAATCTATACAATTTCTTCGGAGATTAGATTAATGCTTTAAATAATAGATCGTTCAGTTAATATGGCAGCTATATGCTATAGTCATCCGATCTATACAATTTCTTCGGAGATTAGATTAATGCTTTAAATAATAATACATGCCAAATTTCGTGAAGATACCTCGTCAAATTAAAGAGTTGTCCATACAAGCACTTTATTCCGATTGTTCAGTTTGTATGGCAGCTATATGCTATAGTGGTCCGATATCGGCCGTTCCGACAAATGAGCAGCTTCTTTGTTAGAAAAGGACAGGTGCAAAATTTCAGATCGATAGCATAAAAACTGAGGGACTAGTTTGTATATATACAGATAGACGGACATGGCTAAATCAACTCAGCTCATCATGCTGATCATTTATGTATATATTTTATAGGGTCTCCGACGTTTCCTTCTGGGTATTACAAACTTCGTGGCAAACTTAATATACTCTGTTCAGGGTATAAAAATTAATTACTAAGAAATAACAAAACAATACGAATTTAGGAGAAACCAAGGAAAAATTTTATAATTATAATAGATGCTGGAGGGTGAGACAATTAAATACAAAAAAACAAAAACGGGAACGGAAAACTATAAAGGAATGAGAATATAGAAAAATGGCGGGTAAAGTAAAGTAAAGTATCTAGAACAAAGAAAAACGTCATTCAATTGAAAATACAGGTAATGGAAATCCAAGTTATGTAGAGCAAAAAAATTAAGAGAGCAAAAAAGAAACTAAAACAAGTAAGATTAAAAAAAACAAGAAAGCATAAATGATAGAAGGAGAGTAATATGGAAACCACTTAAAGAAAGAAGAGAGGTTTGGAAGGAAAACTAAAATATTGTTATCAATTCATCCAATTGCTTTTAAATGTACCATATTATAATTTTCAGCTATTCACCAAAGTTCTTAGCTATTTTACAGATTTTCAGCTATATATATGGTATGTCGATTTAATAGGCTATTTACGATATTTTAAACATTTTATTGCTTCTGTTGCTAAAAATGAATTCAATTTCTGATTAGTCTTAAGTACTTAATTGTGTTGCCCAACAGCAAACATACATAAAACTAGAAGTAGGCAGCTTATGAAGGAGTTAAATATAGTTTTAGTTTTGGTTTACAACTTACCTATTACGGTTATCGCGTAGGCCACTACATAGGAGATCACTGCAATCCACATAATCGATGCCGCAAATGCTATATATTTAGCTTGAGGATGTCTGCGACTATCCGGTACCGTTATGTACAACAAAAAAGTGATGGGCCAACGGAGTAAGAAATAGAGCCACGAAGCATCACCGCGTTGCCAAGGTAGATCAGTGTAATCTGTTGTGTTATAGTCTATAATGAAGAGAGAGCGAGAGAGAGAGATAGTTAGCGGTTGTGTGCGAAAGAGAGATTTTATTCAAATACTTGTATCATCAATTTGTATGCCACTCACCAGTTTCATTAACACAATTTGCTTCGGCATCTACCGTCCAACTATAACTGTCATTTTGTGTCGTAGACGTGCGACAACTTTCGATATCCTCCAAACTAGCACAAAGTTGTATAGAGGATTCAGGTGTATAAAATGTTGCCAGATTATTGCTTGAAGAACAGTTAATAATGCTATTAAAAGTTGTTGCTAAGTTGTTGGCAATGCCGTTGAAGGTACGCTGACGTCCAAGGAGTGGCGTTAGCTCACTAACTTTACGATAGGAAAATACCAAACGCAGTTTACGGCGATAACGAGAGATCAGACGACGTGCTGAGCGAGCGACCTTATCGTTGTAGTACATCACTGCCAGAGTGAGTGAGGGAGGTAAAACAAAAAAGAAATTAGTTTGACTTAATCAGAAGCAGAGTTAATCTGTTCGCGATTTAATCGATCAGATGGAATCAAGAGCTTACAGAACTTGGTTTTTCCAATCGGATATGACACAAATCGACGCTCACTGAAACATAGTACATATCTGTTTCTAAATTCAGGAGCCCAGAGCTCTCAGTCTCTTGGGTTAATAAAAGCACTCAACGTTTTTGCACTCAACACTTACCTGCCATATAGAAAAAGTATGCCAAGAAGAGCATCATCGATTCGTACCACATCACCTTGCCGTCCCAGAGCGTGCAGATCAGCGCAATCACAGCCAGGCAATACATTAGACAATCTCGACTTACCGGCCACCAGTCGAAAGGAACGCATTGGCCCACAAAGAGACCACAACATGCCGGTACAGCCAGCAAATTAAATACAGACGAGCCCACAATTGTGCCAATGCCGATATCACCCTTTGTCACGAATGTACCAACGCAATTCATAAAGAGTTCCGGACTTGATGTTGCGACTGCCATAAAAGTGGCACCGACTACATCGGCACGCATCTGTAGCGCTGATAAGAGGAAGACACGTTAAATTTTAACGTTATATGTAGCATTTCCGTTTTAACTTACCTTGACATATTAACTCGATGGCTGGCAGAAAGTAATCATCACAAATTACCGCCAACAACCAAAAGCAATAGAGCGCCAATAAAATATGCACTGTAATCCAGCCGTGTTGGCGTTGTGTACGCGTCAGTCCGTCTGTGGGAAATTCCAAGATCGCCGGTGCAGTGCAATTCGCTGTGGCTGTGCTTGGGCTGTTAACGGCCCACGGCAAGTTCGCGCGGGAAGCGTTATAAGAGGCGATTGCTCTTACTTTCTCTGTTGTTATTAGCTTATGCTCATTGAGTTTTTTGCGATTTGATTGATGTCTGTTGTTGTAATGTATTTCTGTTATGCTCACGTTTTCTTGTGAATGCTCCAAGTCAATAGCGCTGGTGCTCACGAGACTCAGTAGCTGTCTAGTTGACTGGAATTGTTTGGGAGGCACTGTTGGGGTAGCTATTTTAAAATGTTTGTTAGTTAGTATGTGTTCGGAAGTGCTGCGCATATGGTGTGAGCTTAGTTTAAGCGCTTCAAATAATTTGAAATTTATGATGAAAGAGCTTTAAAGCTGTTTGCAATTATATATGACTTTTCTAGAATTTGCATAATTTTGAGACTAACGGAAATATATGCGTAATACAGTAAAATCCCTTTGTCTTCGACTTATATATATATACGATACTAAAAATCGGAAAATTTGAAAGCCGCTAAAAGGGCTATGATTTTCTTTACATTTGGACTTAGCTGAATATAACTCTTTACTTACTTCAGTTGTGCCGAGAATGTTCGATAAATCTCTGTTATAACTAAATACACACTTTTTACTCACCTTTCTCCGCGCGTCTACGCCAGCCGCTGTCAAACCATAGATAATTGGTGTAAAATAATAAAATTACACCAACATAAATACAACAACGTAATTGGAGACACAATTTCGACTTAATTCGAATATTTTTCGATTTCACATATGAATTCTTTACGAAAGTTCGACTTTCACTTGTTTCCGTTAAATTTTTGTCCATCATTTGCAATGCAAATAACTGTGCAAAAATGCCGTTTCACGTATGCGAGAGTGTTGGCAACTTGAAAATTGTTTGCCTTTTGAAACACAGGCGGCAAATGTTTGAAACTATTGTTTTGCAATGAATCTATTTGTATGTTTGAACACAATTTTTTTATGATTTTTATGTTTGAAAATAATATTTTTTTTTTCTTGTCTTTAAAAACAATTTTTTCTATAATTTTTATGTTTGAAAATTTTTTTTTTTTTAATAAATTTGTTTTATTTTCAAAATTTTTTGTTTTATTTGAAATGAAATCACTAATTTTGTTGCACTTTACGACACTTTTGTTCTTTTAGATTATGTGTTCGCCTCGCCGCTTATCGGCCTTCTAAAGCGCGTCTTAGGGATAAACACCGCATTTATAGTAATACCGCGCTGCAGCATAAATTAAGTTTTGGCATAAATATGTGCAAGTGTTTGTGTGTAGACTTGTTTACAGGCGAAACAATGCACTTGGTGATAAGCCTAATTTTGGGTTAAAAACATAAGCATATAACTATTATAAATATGTACATACTATACATACATATGTATATGTAGTATATGTATACATGCATTTATTTATGCGATTGTATGTATATATGACATACATACATACATATGTACAAAATCAGGTATGTATATATAATCACATTTGTTTGTGGAAAATTTTGGGCTGTCACTCCAGTGGCGCGTATCAATAGCGGGATCAGAGCGATAGTTTTTTTGCCAGACTATTTATGTTATATGTATGTGTTTGACAGGTAGTTTTGCACGAAATGATCGATGGAAATTCTGAATTTAAAAAATTATGATCTTGTATAATTATGAGCGTAATTGTTTTTTTTTATAGATATTTGCGCTTTACCGACGGCGTATTATGCAAATGATGGGCTATCCTGTATTGAAATACAAACTTATGTTCGTTGAATGCGTAATATAAAGTAAGAACTTGATTCTATAAGTTCTTTGAACTCTTTGTACAACTTTTTTAAGGAACGATAGGCAGGCTAAAATTCAGCTCTTTATTTAGCTCTTCATTTCGTTTCCTCTAATATCTACTTTCAAGTTTTAAATGCAAAAGAGCTTCGCTCAATCTTTCATATACTCTTGTAAAGAACTTTGCGTTATTCTATTTTTGATCTATAACATTGCTGAAGCTCCGAACTTAAATGCTTTCGCAAAAGCATTCAATGAAGCTTACACACGTTAAATGCTTTTCAGCTATATCGAGTAAGTTTTTACAAAAGCTTTCACTGTAACTTGCACCCGTACGAAACCTATAAACGTAGGTGCTAGTGATAAGCGGCGTCATCCCAATTGAACTACTCGCAAAGGTGAGAAAGGCTGGTTATGTTCTTAAATTTATATATAATTAAATCTATCATAGTTTCGAATATTCGCGGATAGCATTGTTTAGAATGCTCAGCGCATAAAATAGTACATCGAACTTTCGCTTCGATAGGAAGTTCTAATTAAAAACCCTCAAGTTAAAAATACATGAAATCAAATTACTAATTTAATTTTGTGAATTTGTTTTGATTACTTTATCACTCTTGTTGGCAACTTGTTGAAATCAAAACTTTACGCACTTGCGTTCAATATCGACGATACGAATTAAAACACAGTAATAAAAATCGGATATTTATGCCGTCGTTGGCACTTATGAACGCTGCAGTTAGTATTGATTACTTGCCTAAGATAATTGAGCAGTTTATTTAATATTTATGCCCTTATATATGACGGTGTTAATTTGTCAAAAATTATCGATAACAGTTACTACTTTTGGACACTTTTGGACATGTAAAGTGTCCATCAAAAGTAGAAACAAAGGCGCGGAAACGACGTCATAATTGGCGCATTGTACTTTGTTTATAATTAATGATTTTTTTTTACATATATAATGTATATTATGATTATTTTACTTTTATTTCAATTTGACAGTAAATTTCAAAATATCGATAACACTGATAATATAGTTAATGTAAACAATTATATAAATTAAGGATTTATAAGTAAATAAATATTATTTATGATAGACAGTTTTCACTAGCTGTTAACTCGGTGGACATGAGATCATGATTTATCGTTAATATGTATTCAATAGAACATTCTAGAGTCAATAAAAACTTTCGAAGAAACTTTCGAGATAGCCTTGGCTGAGAGTATATAGTGATTTATGGTAAATATATAAGTATACATATATATTAGAACACGCCAGATTGAGAAGAAACTTTCGCGAAAGCCGAGGCTGTTGTTAGGAAGTGTGGACATTTAGGAAGTACTTTCGCGTTAAAATAATCGCAAATTATTGCGAGATATATAAGTTATAAGAACAGTTGCGATTTGGAACAGACCTTTTATACTGACTATTCGAACACGTAGTAGATCAAGTTTGTTCGGTTTAATATGACTTAATAAAAATCGACAGAAGGAGTTGTTAGTTCGCTTCACAGACGAGCTGTACATAAGATCGTGATTGATGTGAGGTATGTCGATTTTGCAAGTTTCATGGACGGGTACTCAAGAAGAAGAACACAACAGTCTAGAAACTAGTCAAAAGTAATCAAAAGTATAGCGTGGTAAATGAATCTCTTTTAAACTTGACACGTAGGTGGTTATGCTAAGGGTTGCCACAAAAAGGATTTACCAGCATGGTTGGACTTAACCTACAAAAGAACTTGTTTCAGATAAATTTTAACTCTTTAAGATCTTTTCATTTACTCAGACTTTACAGATCGGCAGCGCTCTTGTTCTAGAAACATATTTCAATTGTCTTTATCACACTTTGAAAGGTTCACAAAACGGCTTATTACACGTTTTCAGCCATTCAAATTGTATAAGGCAACAAATAATTATATACAAAAAATAAAGCAATATGAAAATACCACCAAACCAGCGGTTTATAACGAATTGTGTGCACAACAAAAAAATATACATTATGATGAAACAAAAACAAAGCAAAACGGTCATGGTGATCAGTTGCGTAGATAGAGGGATTATATAGAATTTCGTTGGCCACAGCAGATCCAATGTAATCTCAAACGCATAGGCAATGCCGATATAGAAAAACATCTTTATATTATTTATTGTCCACGCATAATATATTCCTCTAGCGCTATTAGCTGCGAGTAAGCCAAATTATAATTAATATAGCATCAATAATTTATGAATTTATGTTTTTATGGGTAATTACCATGATGCACCATTAATATAAAACTGAGTATATCAGGCGCAGCAGCACCGATTGCTAACAACGTGAGACCTACTATTGATAGAGGTATGCGAAGTTGGTGACCTGGAAGTATTTGAAAAATATTAGTTAGAAATAAAGCGGCTTGTTTAGCGATATTTATAGTTTAAGGCTTCTTTTATATCACCGTTATAAAAAAGATGGTTTTCAGAAAGTTTCGAAACATAAAATCGAGAATCGTAAACAAATTTATAAGCAGAATTCGTTTGAGTGAGTTATAAGATCAGCTCGGTTTGTTTTTTTTGTTGGTTTGAATATCAGCAATATAGAAGAATTAGCTTTCCCCGCTTTTTTCCTAAATAATAGAAATCCAATGAAGCGTTTTCTTTGGATCTTCATCTTCTAAGAGCAGCTTAACTACACCATACAACTAACCGAGCGTTGCAGCAATTTAAAGAGTCGACGGTAGTAGGTCACATTAGAAAAGAACTCCAGTATAACGGTCCAATAGTAGGAATATGGTTAGAAAAACGAGAGCGTAAAGATCTGAACAAAAATTCAAGAGCTCTGATGGGTTTCTATTGCTTTCACAATGATTCCTGAGATCGCCTGCTTATTTTTGAATATCGGAGATCACGTCAGCAGCATAGATGCGCTGTATGATTATTAGTGAAAATAAAAAATGCCGAGTTTCTGCACCTTCATAAATGTTAAGCTTTGAAAGTCGACGAAACAAAAGCTGATTTCTGATTTCAGGTGAAAGTACGATTTTTAGTTGAATACTAGTACGGATTAGTTTCAGTTACGCAAAACCGACTGTATTGGAAACAACAGGTTAGCCAGTCTTGTAAGGCTATAAAAAAGTCTGTTCCTTTTATTTGATGGCAATTTTTCTCTAACCTATCAACCTGAGTTACGCCTCATAGTAATTCCATTGGCTTGCACTTACTAAGTATTGCAGCACACCAAGTGACTATGTAGGATAAAAACATGGCCCATACGATGCACATCAACACTGTCAGTCCGTAGCACGCACGTAAACTTTTACGCCTACAATCCGGTATTGTCATTATGAATAATACTTGTAAAGGCCAAGAGATAAGCCAGAGCATTTTTAAACCCGCATTAGATGTAGGCCAACGGCAGGGATGTAATGTGATTTCCAAACCCTCCTCCACGACATATTTAGCGAATTTCTCACGCATAACTGGCACATTGCTAGGATTCGTACGAAAACATTTAGCGCCTGTACGCGTTGTCTCCTCATTCATATCTAAAAGTGTGTGAGAAATGTAATGAAATATTCGTGAGCGCATATGATATGGTTTCCCCAACTCACCACGTAACTTTTCTTGCAAGAACTTGTCACAGTTTAAGTAAATTAAAAAGATAACATAGAAAGTTATCAGCATTACCGATTTGATGAACCAACTGATGCCTAATAGCGTAAAAAACACGAAGCAAATAACACCGAAGCAGACAGCGCCGCAATCTCTGCTAGTTGTCCACCAATCCAGTGTGAGACGCTGAAAATTTTAAGAACGATTAGTAGCGCTCTTTTGTACTTGCATGTGTTTTAGCGCACACCTCTCTGGCGATTAAACCGCATAAGCCGACCACAGCGAAGCTGTCGAACGCCACCGAGCCAAGCATCAGGCAATAGCCCGCGTTCGTTTTAGCCACATTAATGCATATTATGCAAATACACAGTTCGGGTAGTGACGTGCCGAACGCTAGCAATATGGCATCAGCCATAACAATCCTCATATCCAGTTCTAAATTAGAACAGAAGAGTTTCTTGTATTGTTATGTTTTTTTATTATACTTACGATGACATATTTTAATCATGGCGAATATCAAATACTCTTCGCAGACAATGGCGAGACCTAAAAATGCATACAAAGTGATAGCAAAGCTGACAATGATGAGTTCATAGCTCGTCGTTGAATAGGTAAATATTTGTGGGAAGTGTTCAATGCCAGTTAACGTGCAATTCTCTGAAAATACGAAAAGTGACGGTCAACTTTGACTAAACCGAGGAAACCAATAAAATGCTGTGCTCCGGCATACCCTGCTCCATTCTACCGATAATAACCGATCTTTAGAAGCAAATTGTAGAAATTTTCGATATTATGACAGGAAAATTAATTTTATTATGACTCTTTCGTACTTGTCATTCAAACTTTTTCGCAACATAACTATCTTATAAGACGTGGCAATATTTATTGCCGACACAAATAATTAATAAATGTTAACATAGAAAAAGTCGTACAACTCGTTCGGTCTCTGCCGAGTTAAGGTCTCAAATTTTAGAAATGGCACTTTTCTAACTGTAGTAGATAGAATATTCTATAGAGGCATTTCTAGAGAACAAAATAAAATCTTGGAAAGTGAATTAAGTTTAATTTAAATTTTTATTCAATATTTAAAATTACAAACCTTAACGACTAACGGTCTAGAAACTGCGCTCATTATTATAATAGTTTTATTTTTTATATTTATATATAAAAATTGTATATGATGCACTGCACAATAAACAATTAGGGTTTGCATACATATAAACATACATGACAACAAAGAAAAAAATTTAAAAATAAAATTTTTAGTAGCGAAGGAGTTTTATTTTGGAGGAGTTTGTTTAAAAATAAAAAAATTTTATTAAATTTAAAAATATTTAATTAATAAAAAACTTAAAAATTGAATAAAAAAAGTAAAATTTTATAAAAAAAAAATAAAATCAAAAAAATTAATAAATTTTTATAAAAAAAATAAAAAATAAAAAAATTTTAATTAAAAAAAAGAATATAAAATAAAAACATTTAAATTTTATAGAAAAATTAATTTTTAAATGAAAAATTTTCATAATACAACTTTCTTTTCAATAAAGCTTAACGTGATTAAAAAAAAATTTAATTTGCAAAAATTAAAAAAAATGTTAATAAAAAAATGTGCAAATTTTACATTAAGAAATAAAAAATTTTAATTTTATTTAATATAAATTAACATAAAATAATTTAAAAAATCACTTTAAAAAATTTTAAAATTAATTAAATATAAAATAAATTTTTTAAGAAAAAATAAAAAAAAATTAAATACAAATATGTATACATTTTACATAATGAAATGTATGAATTAAATTTTTTTAATAAAATATATTTAATGTAAGAAATTAAAAAAATTACATACATTTCAAAATTTATATATTACAAATATTAATATTAGGTAATATTTAACGTAATTAAAAAAAAAATTATAAGAAAATATTTATATAAAAATTAATAAACCAAAAATTAAAACAAATTAAAACTCCTGTTTAATAATATACAAAAAAGTAACAAAAAAAAGAACGAATAAAAAATCTGATGATCCTAAATTAAAATTTAACAAAAAAATATAAAAAAAAATAACGTATAAAAGTTTTTATATTAAAAAAGGAATAATATTAAGTAAAAAATGGGATTTTCTTAAATAAAAATTTAACGAAAAAATAATAATATAAAAAAAGTTTTTAAATCAAAAAACTAAAAACTATTAAATCAAAAATCGTCTTGTCTTTTTATTTAATGAAAAAATAAACAAAAAATGTATGTCAAAGTTTTTGATGAAAAAAGGAAAACTTTAGCTGATTTCAGAAAAAAAAAGTTTTTAATTAAAAAAAAACTAAAACTGATTTTTTTAAATTAAAATTTAAGGAACAAAAATATGTATGCAAGTTTTTAAATAAAAAAATTTTAATTTCTATTCATTAAATTAAAAGAAAAAATGTAAATAATTTTAATATAATCATCAATTTGAAATTTTCGAAATAATAAAATATAATTTTTGTAAAATTAATTAATATTTTTAATAAAAATAAAAAAAGTATTTTTTTAAATTAAAATAAAAAAAGTAATTTTAATGTAATTAGCAATTTGAAATTTTCGAAATAATAAAATATAATTTCTGTAAATTATTAATATTATTTTTAATGAAAATAAAAAAAGTATTTTTTTAAATTAAAATAAAAAAAACAACAAAAAAATTAATTTTTTCCAATAATCTTTATGTGTCTACATATGTTACTTTGCTGTTCTTCTGGTGCATTTAAAATATTATGCATAAAACTTATAAAATACTCAGCTTATTTTTACATAATTAAGCATTAGGATTTTTATTTATATGTTATATATAAAACTATAAATGTTTGCAAGTTTTTCACGTGTTTTATATGTGAACTCCAATTTGTTATTTATTTAAATAGAGAAAGCGATTATAAGAAGTATTTTCTTGATTTTATTTACATTAAATTATTGAATACATTTCTCGCACAAATCAACGCGCTGAAGAAGATGCGCTTCTCAAGCGCAAAATAAAATAAAATATTAATAAAAACAAAAAACGAAGAAAAGTAAATACAACTTAAACTTATAATACCCTTGTACAACAATAAAATGGAGAAAAATATTTTGCAAGTAGCAGAGTTAGACAAACAACTCCACGAGTGAAACTATCAAATATGTCGCTGGTTTATTGTTGTTGTTGTAAAGTTTAATCAACACCCTTTTCTCGCAGTGACGCCACATTTATATTCGCTTCTTTTTTCGCATATTAAAATTTGTACGTATGTATGTATATAAAACGCGCGCACACGCCGCCGCCGCTTCTTCTTTCTCTTCTTCGCCACACTGTCTGCCGCACTCACTTTTGCGCTCAACACTTTTCCACGCTTCACGAACGTCCACAGGTTGGCAAATTGACCCGAAAGAATACATTCAATTCTATCAGCGATGCGAATATCATGAAAACCAAATACATAACCAAACAGGCCATGCCCACTTTACGATCCAATTTGAATTTGTTGAACGAGAATGTGATGTAGAGCAAAAATAGTGTGGAGAGTAACGTTATAGCGGAATACTCGAGCCCGGCCGAATTGATGCCGACATAATTTTGTCCCTGCTGTATGGGAAAGAAGACAGCTTTGATGAGCCATGGTACGCCCAAGCATAAAAGTATATCGAACGTATTCGAGCCGATCGAATTACAGATGCCCATTGAACCGTGACCTAGAAGGTAGATAAAGTAGTAAGTGAGTGTGTTGTGAGATTAATAACTGCTGTAAATATGGAGGTTAAAAGTAATTAATATAAATAAGATTATTAAGGTTATAAGGTATTGGCGATTCCAATATTTTCACAAAGGATCAGTAGAAATGCGTAAAAAAGTTTGTTGCACTCAGAACTTTTGTAGATGATGCTAGTAGTGACTTATGTGCTGACCCCATGGAAGGCAAGACAGAATGAATAATTTTTCAACACTATCTTTAAACCAGAGGAAGCAATGCAAAGTCGCCAAATAAATATAATTTTCGAAAAAGATGCGGTTGTGATTCGCGGAATGTTTCAAAACAGTCGGTTGAGCGTCCAGTATTGTTAAGGCTACAGTAGTGCTCTAACGTTTTACGAGCTCTGATATTTTTCAATTACCTCTTTTGGCCACAATAACACTGGAAACCGCCTCGGGCACACTTGTACCCGCTGCCAGAAATGTAATACCCATCACTGAGTCCGGAATTTTCAGCGTGTCACCTTTAAAAAGAAAGAGAAGCATTAGAGATAGAAGCACGCAAATATCCATACAGTCTTTACTCACCTATGATCGTAATCATCCAAGCGACCACATACGACAACGAACCAATCCACACGATGCACATAATAAAAGTCAAGGGGAATATTTTATTATTCTTTGTCTTCTTACAATCTGGTATCGCTATACGAAAGAGCAAGTGTATGGGCCAAATAATGATCCAAGTGAACTGTGCGAAACAGCTCTTTTCCTTGGGATAATGCAGCAATGAATAGTGCTCTTCCTCCACCTCCTCGTCACTCGCTGTAGATGCGGCGGCTGCGACTGAGGCGGGCACGGCTATGGAAATGGCGCCAGTTGGTTGCAATTCCACTGCGCCTTTCTCCATGGCAAGGGTGCTGGATATGAATTTGGCTTCGGCTGGTGTTTGTAGTATAGCTGCTGTCGCTGTTGTTGTTGTATTGGAGTTCGAATTGGTGTTGGAATTTGCGGCGGCAGATTGCGTAGGAGGCGGTGATGCCGTAGGCTGCAGCTTTGGCGGCTCATTATTAACACCCCCATTTAGTTGTATTGTGGAGAGCTTGTGACAGATGCGATTCTCCACAAGATCTGTAAGTTTATGCTTTTATGAGTATTTGTGATGCTTTGGGAACTCTACTGCAGGTCGGTTAGTGAGAAGTATGTTAATATCTGTTATTTCATAATTATTTATCTTATAAGCTTAAACGGTTTTCATGCCTCATCGGGTATTGTTTAAACGTGCACTAGATTAGAACAAACAAGACAATGCCAGATTTTTGATTTCCGTTAAATACCTACATCTGTCCACTGAGCTCCATAAACTACAGTGAAAGATAGGCTAAACCCGACCTATGTTTTTCATATGTTCTGTAAGAATTGCTTTGATGTTGTAGATACGGTGTTGTAATGGCAGAAATCGGGAAAGATGCCATGCTTTGATATAGTTTGTAATAGTAATTCAGAGGTCCTCAACTTCGAAGCTTTTAGTGTTATAAAAAACTTAAATTATTGACTATTCGATTGTGTAACTAAAAGCTTATAGGTTCTATATTATTTGTCTTCCTATGGAACTTTCCATAAATTGGATATAGATAAAATTTCAAATACAACTCATTAATTTTTTTTTGTTAATTCTGTATAATCTAGCTTTTACTGGCTATCCATTTGACTATATTAGGCTTTATATTGTCGCTCTACAATCTTACTCCAGCATCTTCTCGATTTGGATATGTGTGGATACTCGTATATTCCATTATAACGTGTTTCTTCAACTAATTGTTTTTTGTGAACTATCTATCGGAGTGGTTGCATAAAAAACTCTTACGGTATTTAAACATCACATCAGGATATTTTCAATAGTGTGAAGATGCTTTTCTCTGCCACGAAAAATGGCCATTCATGTAATTTTTTTTTATATAAAACTCTGTCAGCTATAAAGATCTGTCAAAAACTTAATATATATGGGCCCAAAGTAATTTTTCATTCTCGTTTTCGTGGCTTTTTAAGACATAAAAATTAGTCTCATAAAATCCACCAGTCGTTTGTTGGTGGGTTAAAACTTGAAAGACCCTCCATGTTTTCACCTAATAATAAGACAACCAGCACAACTAGATCACTTGTCTGTATATACGCGAACTAGTTCCTTAGTTTTTGAGTTAACTTTCTGAAATTTTGCACATATCCTTGACTCGCTAAGAAGCTGCTCATTTGTCGGAACCGCCTATATCTGACAAGTATAGCATAAAGCTGCCATACAAACTGACCGATCTAACTCAAGTTCTGGTATGGAAAACTTTTTTATTTGTCAGGGTATCGTGACGAAATTTGGCACAGATTATTACGAAATAAGTTTCAAGAGTTTCTGAAAGAGAATTTTTGCTATTAGTTTTTTTTTTTTTAATGAAAATTTATTTAACTAAGTTTAATTTGGTAAAAATAAGATATATTGTGAATTTGTTTTGGAATTTTTTTTAGTAAAATAAATTTTTTTTTTTAGTATGTTATTGAAATTGGGTGTGCTATATTTTTAAAATGTATTATATGCAAAAATTATTTTGTTTGTATATGCTTATGTATATATTTTTAAGCGTTACAAAGTATTATATTATATATCTATATGTAAATAATTTTATAAGTACAATCAGTGTATTTATGTACATTTGTGTTAGTATATTATGTATTTTGTAT